TTCGAAAAATAGAACAATTTTTTTCAAACAGCTTCTATCCAGCGGCTGCCGTTACCCTCACGTTTCAATGGGACGCTTATTACACTGTACACTACCACCGTAAACTTTGCGCGGCTCCTCTGATTTGGGGTCAGTAGAACGCGAAGGCACTCCGGACAATATATCTATATAGTATATATATATATTATACTATATATATTACTATATTATTATATATCATATGAAAGACAGGGACAGACACAAAAATTCGCAAAGCGGCGATCAAACCGCTACCCTTTCGGAACCGAAAGCGCTGACGGCAACTAACCGCTCTTAAGCCACCTCGCCCATGCGGCATAATAGAAACAGTCAAAAAAACCTAACTTATGGACTTTAGAGTTTGAGATTGGCCAGCCATTGAAAGTTACATACATTTTATAGTAACATTACAAATTAAAGAGGAGCCTAAAAGTAAGGTGAGACCAGCTAGTTATGAAAAGTGGGGAGTATGCTAGAAGCATTTAATATCTGTACCGTTCTCGATTATCACAAGAAACAACGCAATAGTAGCGTCACCTAGTTTTTGGTAGTGAGTCTGCGACACTTGATTAAATTCAAGGCAACTCACGATATTAGACTAGAGAACCAGTAATGTCCCTTAATCATGATTCAAGTAATTCCTTCTTTCCCATCAGCTATTTTTTTCCAAGTCGTTCCAGCTCGCTAGTAACCAGAAACAGTTGCGCAATCGATTTTCATTATTCTTCCCCGCAAAGATTAAGTGGTTGCTGCGAGTCAGTGGAATTTGAATTCATATTCTTTTAGTGCTTAAAATTCAATCATTATCCTAAAACCGCGACAAGCGTGTACATGATAAACTTTGGAGGTAGTAACTACCATTAAACAAAATATCGAAATGAGCAAGAGAGAGATGTCAATCAATTACCGAAAAGTAAAGTTAATAAATAAGATATTTGTATTAAAAATAATAACTTTTAAGCACATTGAAAATATGGGCAAGCAAAAGATAATTGAAGTAAGTTAAGTATATACTTCACTTTTATCTCCATTAGTTTGAGTTAGATCTAAAAAAACTCGCCGTTATGTTCAAAGCTCATATACACACAAGAAAACCTTGCAAATGCAATTACATCGCAGCGTCAACTTTCCCTGCAAGCCATTCCTTTCCTTCGGTTCCACAGATTGTAGTGACGAGGTGTTTTTAGCGACCGGGAATCCGCCAGGTTTTATTATTCGCCCTCCGACAAAGCGAAACGGCGTCAATTATATGCAGAAGGGGAGGCTGTTCATTGAGGTAACTTCATTACAGCGTGCGCGAGCGGAGCGCGGAAGCCAAGCGCGGCGCCGCTCGCCTCGGTGCGGGTCGCCGCGTCGGCGGTCGCGCACTAATTGGCAGGTTCGGATAACAGCACACAAATCGGCGGCGGCGGCGACGGCAAGGGGGCGGTGGTGGCGGAGGAAGTGGGCGGGGGCGGGCGGGGGCGGCGGGGGCGGCGGGTGGCGGCTGCGGGAGGCAGCGATGGCAGCGGAGGGGACAGTGGCACAACATCGGGGTTTGTATCAAATGGTTGGCAGTGCGATGGTCTCGATTACTATACATGCGATGACGGTGATTTGTCAGCGGAATAGCGAACCTAGGTAGCATGCTGAGGAATGAAGGGGGTCGACAAAAGACATGCATGACAGCAAATATCGGCTGTGACGGCAGGACGGCGTGACTAAAAGACGGCGGGTTTTTTGGAATAAATGTGAACGACTTGGTGAAAAGTGTGGACATGGAACTGTGCGACTGGTGAAAGTGTGAACGACTGTGAAGTGTGAACGACTGTGATGTGAAAGACTGTGAAACGAGCATCGTGAACAGTGTGACCCGACTGTGAAAGTGTGACCCACTGTGAAAGTGTGAACGCTGTGAAGTGTGAACGACTGTGGAAAGTGGCTGTGAAGGTGTGACGCAGTGAAAGTGTGACACGCACTGTGGAAGTGTGAACGACTGTGAAGTGTGTGAACGACTGATGAAATCGTGAACGACTGTGATGTAACAGATGTGATGAACGACATTAAATTGTGAACGACATAAAAGTGGTGAACCGACAATAAAAGTGGGACAAGACAATAAAAGTGTGAACGACAATAAAAAGTGTTGACCGACAATAAAAGTGGGAACGACAATAAACAGTGGAACGACATATAAAAGTGAGAAGAATAGCGGACGACATAAAGTAGACAATAAAGTGGGGAAGCCATAAGTGGGAACAATAAAAGTGGCGAACTAAGTGAAACAATAAAGGTGGGAAGCAATAAAAGGGAACATAAAGTGCGGACGACAATAAAAGTGGGACACTAATGGGCGGACAATAAGTGGGAACGACAATAAAAGTGGGAACGACAATAAAAGTGGGAACGACAATAAAAGTGGGAACCACAATGATAGCGCGCACGAAAATGGCAGCGGGCGATAATTGAAAATGGATGAAAAACCGACGATAGTTGCCATACTGATGCGTGTGCCATACTGTATCGAGGAAACGAAGGACACAATGAAGACGGTTGTTAATGTGCTCTAGAACGCAAGGCAGATGTTCTTCAGCGTTGACGCAGTCTTCATAGCTGCAATGATAATCACAATGAGGGATAGTGAAGTGAGTAGAGAAATGAAAGGGAGGGGAGTATTATATTATGTTCGTCCCTGGAAATAAATTTCATGTTAGATTGTCAAGGGGATTGAGAGACGAACCATGGCAGGCGTTGGAATGGGGTTAAGAGGACACGAGGTGCCTGCAACGCGAATTCAATGCAAAACTAAACATCCCGAGGGATCGGAAATGCTGGAAGTGGTACAAAGTCTGAAATAGAGAGAAAAAAATAAAGGTACTGCGGTCCAGAGCTCCCGCGAGGCAAGCACGGGGCGAGCGCGGTGAATGCGC